AGGCTGATCATGAACCGAGTGTAGGAGAAGATGCATTTGTGTTTTTGGGATCCCTCATTCCGCTCCCTGGGGATATCATCAATGGAAGATTCACATTCGAGACTTTAACTGCTCCTACGGGCCACCGCCTATATTTCCCTGCTTATGATATGTTCCTCAAAGAAATAGACAAGTAATTTTTCCCATATAACCCTTTTAAAGATGCCACATTTAGGCTTAGGATCTTGCGTGATTTACCGTATACTACGTCTCACGACACATTTAACTGGTTTCCCTTATTGTTTGAAACATTTTGTTTATTTTCTAGGTGCATGAGGCATCTTCAAAAACAAGCTATACCGAAAGGGGTTGAACTAGCGGACGATGAATTTATATTGCACGTGGAAGGGACGATGGCTTCACAGAGAGTGGTTCGCCACATCAAAGAAACTAGTTGGCCAGGTTTTTTTGTTATGTTTTTAGTCCTTGCCTTGTCTAGGCGAATGAAAACCATAGAGATTAAGCTTGCATTAATTGGCATCAATTCACATTTCTATTCAACAAAATAAAATAAAACTTGAACTTAGTTGCTTTTGCAAATTCTTGATTCAGCTTGGTTATTGCCAACTTGGTTGCTCTTAAAAAAACGGGTTCGCTGAGTAATCCATTGATGGATTCCGAGTGAGTGATATTTCGATATCTTTCTCATCGAATGACTTGGTTTTTGTAGGTAAGCTTACTTTGACAAACTATGCTCTTTACTTCGAAGCAGCCGGGATTATAAATTATGAAGATGCTCTCAAAATAGACCTTTCAAAGGATACCGAGAGCTCCGTTAAACCTGTCTCCACCGGTCCATGGGGCGCTCCTCTTTTCGACAAGGCCATAATTTATGAAACTCCTGAACTGTAAGAATCTCATGCTTAAAAATAATTTTTATTGTATTGACAGAAGAACAATAAACAGGTTTCTGTTTTTAATTGTTTAAAATACTTTAAATATCTCTTTTCCTTTTTCTTTGTGTGTAAAATGTT